GCACTGGGTGTTATACACAATGAATCATGGAACACTACATCAAAAACTAATGATGCAATGTATAGTGATTAACATAACAATAAAAAAATTTAAAAAAAAAACCCTCCCAACAAACAAGAGTCCAGAGCCAAATGGCCTCCCAGTGGAATTCTACCAAACATTTAAAGAATTAATACCTATTCTTCTGAAGCTGGTTCAAAAAATAGAAATGGAAGGAAAACTTCCAAACTCATTATAAGAGACCAGCATTACCTTGATCCCCAAACCAAAGACCCCACCAAAAAGGAGAATTACAGACCAATATCCCTGACAAACATGGATGCAAAAATTCTCACTAAAATACTAGCCAATAGGATCCAACAAGGATTATTCACAAGGACCAAGTGGGATTTATTCCTGGGCTGCAAGAGTGGTTCAACATCCATAAATCGATCAATGTGATACACCACATTAACAAAGGAAAGAACAAGAACCATATGATTCTCTCAATAGATGCAGAAAAAGCATTTGACAAACTACAGCATTCTTTCTTGATTAAAACTCTCTACAATGTAGGGATAAAGGGAAATTACCTCAAGATATAAAAGCCAGCTACAAAAAGCACACAGCAAATATCATTCTCAATGGGGGAAAACTGAGAGCTTTTCCCTTAAGATCAGGAACATGACAGGGATGCCCACTGTCACCACTACTGTTCAACATAGAAGTCCTAGCTTCAGCAATCAGACAACAAAAAGAAATAAAAGGCATCTAAACTGGCAAAGAAGAAGTAAAACTCTCACTCTTTGCAGATGACATACTCTATGTGAAAAATCCAAAAACTCCACCCCAAAATTGCTGGAACTCATACAAGAATTCAGTAAAGTGGCAGGATATAAAATCAATGCACAGAAATCAGTTGCATTTCTACCCACTAACAATGAGGCAGAAGAAAGAGATATTAAGGAATCAATCCCATTTCCAATTGCACCAAAAACCACAAGATACCTAGGAATAAACCTAACCAAAGACATAAAGGATCTGTACTCTGAAAACTATAGAACACTCATAAAAGAAATTGAGGAAGACACAAAGATGTGGAAAAACATTCCATGCTCATGGATTGGAAGAACAAATATCGTTAAAATGTCTATGATTCCCAGAGCAATCTATACATCAAATGCAATCCCTATCAAAACACCATCAACATTTTTCACAGTGTTGAAAGAAATAATCCTAAAATTTGTATGGAACCAGGAAAGACCCCGAAAAGCCAGAGGAATGTTGAAAAAGAAAACCAAAGCTGGTGGCATCACAATGCCAGACTTCAAACTATATTACAAAGCTGTAATCATCAAGACAGTGTGGTACTGGCACAAAAACAGACACATAGATCAGTGGAACAGAATGTCTATGGTCAACTAAACTTCGACAAAGCAGGAAAGAATATCCAATGGAAAGAAAACAGTCTCTTCAATAAATGGTGCTGGAAAAACTGAACAACCACATGCAGAAGAATGAATCTGGACCATTTTCTTATACCATACACAAAAATAAACTCAAAATGGATGAAAGACTTCAATGTGAGACAGGAATCTATCAAAACCCTAGAAGAGAACACAAGGCAGTAACCTCTTCGACATTGGCCCCAGCACCTTCTTGCTAGACACATCTCCAAAGGCAAGGGAAACAAGAGCAAAAATGAGCCATTGGAACTTCATCAAAATAAAGAGCTTTTGAACAGCAAACGAAACAGTTAACTAAACTAAAAGACAACATACAGAATGGGAGAAGATATTTGCAAATGTTTTATCAGATAAAGAGTTAGTATCCAAAAATCTATAAAGAACTTATCAAGCTCAACACCCAAGGAACAAGAAATCCAGTCAAGAAATGGGCAGAAGGTATGAACAGACATTTCTCCAAAGAAGACAAACAAATGGCCAACAGACAGATGAAAAAATGCTCAACATATTCGGCATCAAGGAAATACAAATCAAACCACAATGAGATACCATCTCATACCAGTCAGAATGGCTAAAATTAACAAGTCAGGAAACAACAAATGTTGGTGAGGATACAGAGAATGGGGAACCCTCTTACACTACTGGTGGGAATGCAAGCTGGTACAGCCACTCTGGATAACAGTATGGAGGCTCCTCAAGAAGTTATAAATGGGGACGCCTGGGTGGCTCAGTTGTTAAACATCTGCCTTTGGCTCAGGTAATGATCCTGGGATCATGGTCCTGGGATCGAGCCCCACATTGGGCTCCTTGCTCAGCAGGAAGCCTGCTTCTCCCTCTCCTTCTCCCCCTGTTTGTGTTCCCTCTCTCACTGTCTGTCAAATAAATAAATAAAATCTTTTAAAAAGTTGTAACTAGAGCTACCCTTCAACCCAGCAATTGCACTACTATCCAAGGATACAAACATAGTGATACAAAGGGGCACCTGCACCCCAATGTTTATAACAGCAATGTCCACAATAACCAAACCATGAAAAGAGCCATGTCCATCAACAGATGAATGGATATATATACACAATGGAATATTATTCAGCCATCAAAAAAATGAAATCTTGCCAACTGCAAGGACATAGATAGAACTAGAGAGTATTATGCTCAGCTATAAATAAGTCAATCAGAGAAAGACAATTATCATATGATTTCACTCATATGTGGAATTTAAGAAATAAAATGGAGGAGCATAGAGGAAGGGAGAGGAAAATAAAACAAGATGAAATCAGAAAGGGAGATAACCGTAAGAGAGTCTTAACTATAGGAAACAAACTGAGGGTTGCTGGGGCGGGGGGAGGATGGAGTAACTGGGGGGGGGACGGTAAGAGGGTTGCCGAATATAATGAGCACTGGATGTCATATACAACTGATGAATCACTGAACTCTACTTTTGAAACTAATAATATACTATATGTTAATTAACTGAATGTAAATAAAATTTAAAAAAAGAAAGAAAGAAATAGTGGCTGAGACTTCCCAAATCTGGGGAGAGATTTAGACATCAAAGTTCATGAAGCTCTTAGGACCCCAAACACATTCAACTCAAATAGATATTCTCCAAGACACATCAATAGTAAAACTTTTAAAAATCAATGACAAGCAACTAATGAATCATTAAACACTATATCAAAAATTAATGATGTACTTACTATATGTTGGCTAATTGAACTTAATAAAAAAATCAATGACAAGGAGAGATCTTAAAATCATTAAGAGAAAGGGAGCTTATCACTTATAAGGGAACCCCCCCATAAGGCTATCAGGGGATTTCTCAGCACAAACCTTACATGCCAGGAGACAGTGGAATGACATATTCAAAATGATAAAAGAAAAAAAACTGCCAATCTAGAAAACTTTACTTTAGAAGTGAAAGAGAGATAAAGACTTTCCCAGACAAATGCTAAGGAAGTTCATCACCACTACACTTTCTTACAAGAAATTGCTAAAGGGAGTTCAGTTTTTCAACCTGAAGAAAGGACCCTAACTGTAAAAAGGAAAATGATTGATCAGTCATTTTGAAACTTCCCACAAAGAAAAGCCCAGGTCCAGATTGGCTTAATTCTACCAAACATTTAAAGAATTAATACCTATCCCTTCAAAAACTCTTCCAAAACAAAAAAGATGAGGGAACAGCTCCTGACTCATTCTTTGAGGCACTCCCCCCACTTTCCCCTTCCCCAACCTCCTCCCTCTCCCTCTCTTTCAGAGCTGAGAAGGCTATCTTACTTGGAACATTGTACTTCTGGAGACAGTAGGCAAGCTCCATAGGTTGCACTGCTTTCTGCCGGCTGTCCTGCATCCTCTCCAGTAGCAAGAGCAACTGGAAGGGGACACTTCTCCTCTGCTCTTCTGTTCCCCTTGGTACTGTTATCCTGCCAAATAAGAACATCCGTGAACCTCCTTATCCCCACAGTTCTCAATGCTAGATGCATACTGGAATCACTTGGGGGACCTTCCCAAACTCTCCATGTCCAGGCCACTTTGCAGACTAACTAAATCAGAATTTTTTTAAATCAGAATTTCTGATAGTGAGGCCCAGTTATCAGAATTTTTAAGTTTCCCAGATGTTTTAAATGTATAAACAAGGCTGAGAAGTACCATATTAGCAAATTGGCTATAGAGATATCCTCTTGGGGGTGGGGGGAATCAGACAATTCTTGCCTCACCCCTCTCCCCACTCTGCTCAACAATCACACTTAAATGAAGGGCAGATGAAGAGGGTCCTGGGTCCACAGCAAAGTGTCCAGGCTGAAGTACTCCAAAGTGAAAAGGCAAATACTGATCTAGGTCCTGGCAATAAAGGACATGAAAGAATGTCAGTTTATTTTGAAAATGATTTATTTAATTATAGGCATCTCTCAATGCCTGAGCCAATAGAAGGAGGAACACAACTAGTCCCAGGAACACAACTAGATAACCATCAGATCAACACAAAAGTTGACCTGAAGACAGACAGAACAAACTCCACAACTAAAGGGAGAGAAGAGGGTGCCTGGATGGCCCAGTTGGTTAAGCGACTGCCTTCGGCTCAGGTCATGATCCCAGGGTCCTGGGATTGAGTCCCACATCTGGCTCCCTGCTCAGCAGGAAGCCTGCTTCTCCCTCTCCCGATAACTAAATGTTCTCTTGTTTTCTCTCTTGTTCTCTGTTCTCTCTCTCTCTCTAATAAATAAGTAAAATCTTTAAAAAAAAAAAATAAACAGAGAGAAGAGGCCACATCAAAGAATGTAGGAAGTGCAGAGATGTGGTTTAGGGGAGAAACAGACTGCAGGTGCTGCAGAGGGGAGGGAGCCATGGTCATGGAGAAGGGGGGGAGAGAGAGAGAGGAGCACACAAGAGAACACACAAGAAGAACATTTCCCCAAAGCCACTGGCTTAGAAAAGGAGAGGGGTAGAATTTCATGAGTTCTTGCAGTCAGCAGGGCTTAAAGCAGGAACCATAGCCAGAGATCAGAGGGCCAGGGCCAAGATCAGAGGGCTTGACTGGAATAGGGCCTAGAGGTCACTGTGCTGTTCCTGGAGAGAAGGCAGGAAACAATCTGGGGGGCAGATACAATGGAAACAGGGAAATGAAATGTGCCTGGGGCATACAGTGGGGAGATTATTTGCTCCTCTCAGAGCACATCCCTGAGAGGGACCATGCACAGGGACCCACTCAGGAATAAAAGAGCCAGGTGGCACCATTTCCCTCCCCTGCCCCTCAGCATGAACACAGAGCCAACTGTGGGAAGCAGCACAGTGCCAAAACAGGCTGCCTAACTTACCTACACCAAGCCCCATATCCCTGAGCTCCAGTAAAACAACCCTTCTCAGTCATGCTTGCCTAAGTACCAGTGTGGTGAGCCCCTCCCCCAGAAAACCAGCACAAACCCCTGCCCATAGCACACCTCCCAGCCAGAGAGTCCTGCAGGACCTCAGTTGTGGGGGAAGTGGTGACAGGTCTCATTTCACAAGCAGACCAGGGCACACCTAGTTAAAACTCACCACCTAGTTAAAATTCAGGCCAGAGACAAAACGCTGCCCATGGCAGGCAAGGAGAGCCTCTTCAAATGACTGGCCTGAAGGATAGAGCAGCCAAAGCACAACAGCCGAGCACATGCAGTACACACAGGAGACACTCCCTAAAGGGGCAGGCCCTGGATACTATACGACCTCTCTTCATTAGGCCATTACTTTCAGGGAGGAGGAGAAAAGATGGCAGAGGAGTAGGGGACCCTATTCCAACTGGTCCCCAGAATTGAGCTGGATATCTACCAGACCACTCTGAGCACCCACGAAATCAGCCTGAGATGCAAGAAAATAGATCTGGATCTCTACAAACAGAATATCGCAGGTGGTTGGTTTTGAGGTATGAAGCGGGGAGCTGTGATTCTGCAGGATAAATGGCAGTGGGAGGGAGCCTGGCCATGGGGATCCTACACCGCCGGTGAGCGATAGCCTCCCACGCGGGGATGGAGCACAGACTCACAGACCGGTAGCAGCGGGGAAAGGACTTTAGGGCAGCCCCCGACGGAAACCTGGAGCGGCGGGCTGCACGTGCGAACTAGGGGTGGCTTGCAGTTTTAGAAGCACAAAGGGCAGAGATGTGCCCCGACCTGGAAGGGAGGACTGGGAGCACTGCTGAGGAGCGCACAACCCAGGACGCTGCAGTTTATAGCAGCACAGACAGAAACGGAGATAGTGTGGCCTGGAGAGCTCGCTGAAGAACAGACTGTGATCTCTCTGCTCTGAGGCAGAGGGTTGGAAACGGTCTCTTCTGCTCTGACTCTAAGAAGAGACGTGGAAAGCCTCCAGGGAAAGCCGCCAGAGAACAAAAGCGCCAAAACACCGGTTTTCACTGAGCCCATCCCCCACCACAGGCGGCAGGGCAACTCTGCCCAAACAGGGTTGCCCTGAGTAACAGCACGGCAGGCCCCTGCCCCAGAAGACAGGCTGGGAAAACAAGAGGCCAGCAACCCTAAAGTCCCTAGAAAACAGGTGCATCTTGGTTGGGTTGTGGTCAGTAATTTGGACTCTATACATTCCCACAACCACCCATCAACAGAATGACTAGGAGGAGGAACCCCCAAAATAGGAAAGACTCAGAGATTATGACTTATGCCACAGATTTACAAATGGATTCAGATATAAGCAAGATGTCATAGATGGAACTCAGGCTGGCAATTGTGAAGACAATAGCTAGAATGGAGAAATCAATTAATGGCAACATAGAGTCTCTAAGGGCAGCAATGAAAGCTGAATTGGCAAAACTTAATGCTATCAGTGAGATCCAATCTAATCTAGATAATCTTACAGCTAGGGTGAGGCAGAAGAATGAATTAGTGACCTGGAAGACCATTTAATAGATAAAAGGGGAAAAGAGGAGACCAGGGAAAAACTCAGAATCCATGAAAATAGAATCTGAGAAATAAGTGACACCATGAAG